CGCTGCCGCCAGCCCGACCCGCCGCCCTGTTTTGTCTTTTAATAGATAATACATTTACATGGTTCAAAATTCAAAATGTATATATGCATTAACAAGATTTCCTCCTATCTTTGACCCGCTAGCTTCTTAGTTTTCTTCCTTAAGACAACCAATGTTCTCACGTTCTTATGTATCTCTCCAGAAGAAGTTTATAAAGTTTATGGATATATTAGCTTACGTATGTGTTTATATGCATATGTGTTTGTCGCTTTTTCCATTTAACAATACATATTGGAAATAAATATTTTTATTTTTAAAATATATTTTTATTGATTTCAGAGAGGAAGGGAGAGGGAGAGGGAGAAACATCAATGATGAGAATCACTGATCGGCTGCCTCCTGCACGCCCCCTATTGGGGATCCAGCCCACAACTTAGGCATGTGCCCTTGGCTAGAATTGAACCTGGGACCCTTCAGTCCACAGGCAAATGTTCTATGTACTGAGCCAAACCCAAAGAGCTTCTTCATTCTTTTATATGACTATACAGAAGTATCCATTGTATCAACTTATCATAATTTCTCTAATACTCTCCCAACTTTTGCTATAAAAATACCATACGTCCATAGCAAAATTGTATATACATATTTCTTTCCCATTTGCAAGATAAATTACTGGAAGTGGAATTGCTAGGTCATAGGGAACAGGTTAGTTTTTGACAATTGGCATCAACTCTTTTAGGGATGACTTTTGCTCTTCAGGGGCTGTCACTGCTTTCCCCTTCTCAATGAGCTGGACAGCCATCAGCAAAGCATTCTGCAGAGCCTGGTTCTTTACCATGTTGGTGATCATGAAAGTGACATCCCTGATGTACATCTGTCTCACTTTGGCACTGTAGTGTTCTGCCTTGTTACCATGTGCAATAAAGAAGGTACAAAGTGCTGTGGTATCTCTTTCTTGCAGCCCACACTCCTCCAGGACAGATTCCCATACGACTCTAATGCGCTTGTTCTTGACTTTTCTTCTAAGGACGGAGGCTAAGGTAGGAAGACTTCTCACCAGGTCTGGCAGCTTCTCAAGCACACGAGTGTGCAAGCAGATGAGTACTTCCATGACATAGCTGTATATAATATTTAATTCCATTGAAGTGAACCTACAAAGAAGGGGAGAGCTTCTAAAGCAGTAGAATACTTTATGTTCAAATATAAATAAATTCTATTAGGATAGCTCAAAGAAGTACAAACCCACTAGGAGAACCAGCTGTTGTATTTTTAGAAAACACTTTAGAAATAAGACCTGTGCTAAACTGGATATCTAGTTCTCCAGCCACCCATACTATAAGTTTCTCAATGGCAGAGGAGTTATATTATCCATCTCTGTGTTAGTAAGATTTTGGCAAGCAAGAAACTGTTGATGAGTACTGCAGTGCCTGGCATATAAACAGGTACTCAAATTAATATTTTTGGAATAAATGAACCTAAGAATATGTGATTTCTTCACAATCCATTGCTGGAACCACATTAAGAAGTTTAATTTTAGAATGACCATGCCATTCTCACAATGCCACAACATTCCACTTGATTTCTCATTGGATACTCACTTGAGTGCCAGAACTGCTGTCCACAGCTCATCTTGGGCTGCCTGGCTTGCCAACATTTTGCTATGATGTTCAAATTTCTGTGTCAGATTATCCTTGGTGAAGTCCAGTTCTTTAAACTGTGCTTCTAAAGCTTGGAGTTTGTGGTCTACTCTATAGGATAAAAGAATCAGGGGGTTGGTTCAAGTCAGGGAACAAAATTAAGGTGTTGCCTAAGACGAGAATGTATTTTTTACAACCACTACCAAAGTTGGGTAGCTATTTGCCATTCTCTCTATCCATCATCCTAGTTCTTGCATTCCTTATATTGCCAAACTTTTGAATTGTCTACTTGAATTCATTTGTCATGTTTTATCTTTGTATTGTACTTTATACTTTAAAAAGTATTTGCCCTAACCGGTTTGGCTTAGTGGATATAGCGTCGGCTTGCGGACTCAAGGGTACAAGGTTCGATTCTGGTCAAGGGCATGTACCTTGGTTGTGGGTACATCCCCGGTAGGGAGTGTGTAAGAGGCAGCCAAATCGATGTTTCTCTCTCATCGATGTTTCTAACTCTCTATTCCTCTCCCTCTCCCTTCCTCTCTGTAAAAAATCAATAAAACATATATATTTTTAAAAAAGTATTTTATACAGCCCTTGGCTGGAGTAGCTCAGTTGGTTGAGCCTTATCCCATGCACCAAGGGGTTGCTGGTTCAATTCCCGATCAGGGCACATGCCTTGGTCGGGGGCTCAATACCTGGTGGTGGGCAGTACGGGACAGCCGATGAATGTTTCTCTCTCTCTCTCTCTCTCTCTCTCTCAAATCAATAAAAACATATTTTTTAAAAAAGAAAAAAATAGTATTTTATACAAGCATTACTTTGAGTCTCACAACCACCATAAGAAGTGAAATAGTCATTTCTACTATTTTACAGATAAAGATACTAAATATCAAAAAGATTGAGACCTGCCTGGCCAGTGTGGCTCAGTAGTTGAATGTCGACCTCTGAACCAGGCAGTCACAGTTCGATTCCCAGTCAGGGCACATGCTCGGGTTGCAGACTCGATCCCTAGTGGGGGGCGTGCAGGAGGCAGCTGATCAATGATTCTCTCTCATCATTGATGTTTCTATCTCTCTCTCCCTCTCCGTCTTCTCTGAAATCAATGAAAATATATTTTTTAAAAAGATTGAGACCTAATGTCATATAGTTAGCTAGTGCTGGAACCAGTATTTAATAAGACTGCTTTCTCTACCCTATTCTGACTGTTTGAATCCTATCCTTCCTTTAAGGATAAGCTCAAAGTCCACTGCCTGCTTGACTCCCCAGACTGTCTACCTGAAGATCTCCTCCCTGCATACTTTATTCTCACAAGGACTACCTCTATCATCTGTCACTCCCACCTACTGCTTTATTTTGAGTTAGTTTTTCATGAACAAAATTGTATGCTCTTGGAGGGAGGGGTTCAGAGTCTTTTTCTTGTACATTTTTTTTTTTTTTTTTTTTTTTTTTTTTTAGAGAGGGGGAAGTGAGGGAGAGGGAGAGAGACCTAGGATTACAGCAGCCTAGCTGGATCCCTGCTATCAATTTCTGCAACATCCAATCCATCCTCCAGAAATATGCTCCTGAAACACAATTCTGATCATGTCCTTCAACTTTTTATGCCACCCTGACTTGCCCAGTGATACTGTTAGAGCCAAGCTGTATCTCCTCAGCAGGAAACATAAAGTCCTTTACCCTGTGCTCCCATTTTTGCCACTCCTCTCACAGCCTAGCCACCAATCATTGAGACATCTACCTGCTGACTGAATACGGTTTGCGATTCCAAGCTTATATGGCTTACATGTACTGCTTCTCCAGCCTAGAGTTCCCTTCCATATTTTTCTTATAAACTCCTACTCACACTTTAAGATCTAGCTTAAATGTTCTCTATGAAGAATTCCTTTTCCTAGTATAAAAGACAAAATTAATTGATCCTCTCTTCATAGCCCTTTAGGAACATGACCATTATATGGCCAATCACAATAAATTTTAAGTATTTTTGAATACTTTTGTTATCCCTACAGGCAGTGAGTACCTTCAGAGCAGAAACCACATTTAATTTATTTTTACCTACCATATATAGCACATGCACTATTTTAATGGAATTCTTGTACCTGGAAGTAAATTTTTCTTTATTATTAACTTACATATTTCTTTTAACCTGGAAGACTTAAACCACTTTAACAGACATAGAAGTCTAATTGGCATGTCTATAGTTCTTTGCCTATTTTTAATCCTTATACTTCTTTAACCCACCTTCCCAGTAAAGAAGGCCTATACTTGCTCCCTCCCTGTAGCCCTTAGCAACCTTTTCATCGTCTCTTTCAAGGATATCAGGGTTGCGGTTTCATTGTTCATCTTCTTAAGGCAAAATGAAGGGAAACAAAAGCAAAACAAAAACCCAATAGAGGTTTGAATCCAGGATTTCCTGCTGTCTTCCACTCAGCAACAGGCAGCACCAGCGTGAGTATTAGATCTGAATTCTGCCTGAAAGGTCACTCAGTACAAGAAGCTTTTAATAGCTTGTACATCCAAATATAGTTTCAAAGAAATGATCGTGTGGACGCAGGTGTCCTGGAATTCACTATGATGTTTGCCTTTGAAAAATGAGCTGTAGTACATCAACAAAGCACAAAAAACAGATGTAATTGTGGTTCTAGTATGTTCTGGTAAATGTATATATGGATATACAAAGGTAGACATATACTAGGATTAAGTTTGATGGAAATATAACTCAAATTTTAACATTATTCAATTATCATCTAAATTAGGTTTAAAGAAAGCCCCAGACCATTTATTGAGAGCTTCTAGTATTAGGTTAGGTACTGGAAATAAAAACAGGCATAACACAGGATTCCGGAATTTAAGGGATTCAAACTCTACTTGGGGAGATAGGACTTTACTTTAAAAATGTGACCCTGGCTGGTGTGGCTCAGTTGGTTGAGTGTCCTCCTGTGCACACAGGTTGCTGTTTGATTCCCAGTTAGGACACATTCCCAGGTTGCAGGTTCGATCCCCAGTGTGGGGTGTGCAGGAGGCAGCCAATCAATGATTCTTTCTCATCATTGATGTTTCTATCTCTCTTTCCCTCTCCCTTCCTTTCTGAAATCAATAAAAAAATTTTAAAAAAGAAAATGTGTGCTAAATAGGTACAGACCATGAAAATAATAGAGGAGAGCAGGTCACTGAAGCCTTGTGTAATTCAGAAACACTCACATTGAAAGTAGGATTTGGGCTTTGCCTTAAAGGAAAAAGTAAGTCTTTAGTTATCAGAAAGTAGAGAGAAAGGTGTTACAAACTGGAATAATTGTGTGAGCAAAATTATAGAGGTGGCAAGGTAAATAATGGTTAGGGAAAATTGTGTGGGTATGTCTTCAGCATAAGATTCATGTAAGAAGCCAAAACCGGTTTAGCTCGGTGGATAGAGTGTCGGCCTGCGGACTGAAGGGTCCCAGGTTCCATTCCGGTCAAGGGCATATACCTTGGTTGCAGGCACATCCCCAGTAGGAGGTGTGCAGGAGGCGGCTGGTCGATGTTTCTCTCTCATCGATGTTTCTAACTCTCTATCCCTCTCCCTTCCTCTCTGTAAAAAATCAATAAAAATATATTTAAAAAAAATTAATGTAAAAAAAAAGAAAAACAGCATTTAAACGGAAAAATCAAGGGCATGGATTTATTTATTTATTGAATAATTTATTTACTTGTTCAATATTTATTCAATATTTACTGAACACCATAAATACCAATTGAATGGATAAAACCTAGGAATGATCAGCACTATTCCTGGTATTGAGAATACAATGATGAGCAAGGCAAAACCCTTGTCATAAGGAGCATACTAGTAAGGAGACAAAAAAATCAAGGATTACAAAAGAATGAATGGTTCTAGAGAGCCTGGTAGGAAGTTTCCCAGTCAGGACATATAGGTAAGATGTAGGTTCTGTAAAGTTAATTAGTGGTGTTTAGGACAGATCTAAGTGGAAATAAAACCAGAGACAGACGAGTCCCTCAGAACATTGCTATACAGTCAGATATGAGGTGATGAGGGAGTAGATTACAAAGAGTGGAAAGACAAAGGGACAGATATGAGAAACATTCTAATTCCCCCCCTGGACTCCTGGGGGTTAGAGTCAGTAAGCTTCACATAAATCTTTAGAAAACTTTGGGAATCAAGTCCCTCCTTGCCTCAGTGGGAAAAACCTTGCTAGGGTCTCATGTCCTACCAAGTAGCCATCCTCCCCTCCTCCCACCCCATCTACTTTTATCTCATTAACAGAACCCAAGTTTTGTTCAAGTACTGGGAAGCCATGTGCTTCAGGAAAGCCTGGGCCTCTCCCCAGTCACAAGGGAGTGAATCTTAGACTAAGCCAATCATATTAGTTTTATTATTGTTGCTATCTCTATTGGTCTGGGAATGGGCAGGTGGCAGAATTCTGACCTATGAAATGTGAGAAGTGGTCTACTGTGGGGCTTCTGGGGTGTTGTTGTTTTTTTAAATTGTGATAAAATATACATAAAATTTACCATTTTGGTGAAGGTGGGTGAAATGTACCAGAAAGTACAAACTTCCAGATATTAAAAAGTCTTGGGGATGTAATGAACAGTATGAAGTCTATAATTAATATATTCCACGTTCAAAGGCTGTTAAATTGCATTGTTTACACATATCTTCAGAAAAAAATCACTTCTGTCGTGGTAAACAACCTGCCTCCCTATTTATAATGGTCTGGCCCTCTAGCAACTTCAGCGTGAAATTATAGCTAATTTGCCTACAAACATCAGGTGGTCATAATAATCTGGCCATTCAGTGTATATTTGAAAGTTGCTAAGAGTGTTCTTGAAAGTTTTCATCACAAGAAAAAAAATTGGTAGTTCTGTGTGGTGATGGATGTTAACTAGATTTATTGTTTTGATAATTACTCAATATATACTTTTTTTATCAGGTCATTATGTTGTAACCCTGAAAATAATATACAGTAGGGGCCCACCCCCCTCTTATCTGTGGAGGATACTTTCCAAGACTCCCAGTGGATGTCGTGAAACCTCTAATAATACTGAACCCTCTGTAACTTTTTCCCGGAGTCCACACAGCTGAGAGGGAGGTAGGGAGGGAGAGGGAGAGAAAGAGAGAGAAACATCCATTTGTTGTTCCACTTATTTATGCATTCATTAGTTGATTCTTGTATGTGCCCTGACCAGGTATTGAACCAGCAACCTTGGTGTATTAGGATAATGCTCTAACCAACTGAGTTACCAGGCCAGGGCTACCTCTGTGACTTTCTAAATAAACTTTGGTTGTATTTTAGTTCCTTGGCTCTGAGTTCTTTTCTTAGCTGAACTCAAGAACTGAGGTCTAACATCTGGTGCCGTTCCCCGTCAATAGAATCACCTCACAAAATATGTGTAATTCTCTCCTTAGGTCCTGCTTCTGGTGTACATCAAATTAAGACTTACCCGTACTTACAGCAAGATCAGCCATTGACCCCAAAATGTGTTACTTTCACATTTATTATATATGTATAGACATACTCACAGACAGTGGTTTTTTTTTTTTTTTGACAGTGGGGTTCTTATGGGAGCTTCCATTTTATTTATTTATTAATATATATTTTATTGTTGATAGTATTACAGATATTTCCCATTCCTACCCTGTTACCCCCATCCTCTCATCCCCTTCCTTTCTCCCTCCCTCCCTCCCAGGTCTTCACTACCCTATTGCCTGTGTCCATGGGCTATGCATATCCTAGATCAGTGGTCCGCAAACTCATTAGTCAACAGAGCCAAATATCAACAGTACAACGATTGAAATTTCTTTTGAGAGCCAAATTTTTTAAACTTAAACTATATAGGTAGGTA